GCTCCCGATCCGGATACTAGGGCTCTCGTGAGAACCAGGCTTCAGTTTTCAAATGCGTAGATGATGCCTTCTTAGTGACGTCATTATGTTTTACCTGCGTAGTACAATCAAGAGCTCCATATTAATAGTAATTTATTATTATTTAAATTTGTTAATTGATTTAAGCTGAAAACCAAGGTTATTCCAAACAGCGAACATCATTTTTTTAAGCCATGTTTATACCCAGCCAGTGACCTTTCAAGCTTGGCCTTGAGGCTTTAGTCTAAATGAGGCTCTAGGGGGGGGGGGGGCGCTTATATTCAAGGGAGGCGTTTATTTAAAGTGGGGCGTTTATGCAAATAAATATGATATATACAGTATATAATCCAAATAAAAATCTAGATTCCAAACATTTTCTTGCTGATGTATTTGTTTTATCTTCTTTTTAGTACTCTTTGTGGCTGTCAACAGACTTTGGAAGGACATGGACCAGAATAAAGAATTTTGTGCATAGTTTCCGATGGGGGGAAAAGACACAAAATGACTTTAATATTTATTTCGCTGTAGATCGAAATATGATGGCAGATGGTATGTACTTAGGTTTGTCATTCATATGCTGGGGGAGAGATCAATAATATATGTACTCTTATGAAAATGAGAAAATTCTTTTTTTGAGTAGGGGGAGGAGAGGTGGGTGGGGTGACAGAAAAGTGCATTTTATATTTTCTTCAAAATGGTGGAAAATAAAAGACATAATTCTCGTTATTAATGTTTTATATTTTATACACTTATTTTCAATTATATATTTTTATATTTCATTTCACCACATTTCTTTGAAGTTTTAAAAATGGAAATTTTCATTTCAATTTCAGAAAACGCTTTTGATTTGGTTTTAAAGCGTGGTCGTGTATCACAAGAAAAAAAATACCTGGGTAAGTATTGTGTAGTATTGTTGCAGTGGAAGTATGTGGCGCAGTGGTAAGGCGTCAGCCGTCTAATAAATTCTGGGGGGTTCGATTCTAAAGTGTGGAAAATTATTTGAGCTCGTGTGCTGGAAAATTATGGATTACGCTTACAAGGAACTGAGTATATGTTCAATAAGCGTAATAGTGGGATGCTCATAATGGCTTTTTGTTGCATATAACATATTAGTAACAAACTAATTAATTTGCAATTTTAACAATTTTAAAAGAAATAAAATGTTTATATTTCAGATTAAATTCATAATTTTATTTACCAAAATTTAAGAATTATGTTTAATATTTCTGTTTAAAATTGTATTTGAAGTTATAACTTATTTTAAACCTAGATACTGTATAAAGGAAACTTATATTTTTCTTACAAAAGAAAACATTGAACAATATGTAATAAATAAAATCAGACATAATCTGATATATTAGGTAACTTACTTCATATTTTTACAATAATGATCTTACTAATTTTTTTTATGCTTGCTAAAAGATGATAAAGATCTGCAAACAAATGTGTTTACCTTTGGTGTGCAGGACAAGTTTTTGTTTGCATCTGTAAAGAGTGATGAGGTAAGTAATGTGCACCTGCTATATGTTGTGCTTTGAACAATACTGTAAATGGCCTTTATTTTCATAAGCCCTTTATTTTCACGGCCCTATATTTTTGCAATATTACAATTTGAAATATTTTGTGATGGGGGGACCGATGTCCATGATGGAAAAAAAAGTGGGCATGGTCGTGCGTCGCTTAAAAGTTCTTGAAAGTTGAAGCCCCCTAAAATATTTGACAATTTAGAGGTTCCAAAGGCTTATTTAAATGCGTTTGGAATCTAGTACTAATATGAAGAAAATTATATACATTTTTTTCCCCGACGAATTGTGGTTTTTCTCCCCGGGGGGGTCGGCTCTCCCCGACTTTCTAAAAATGGAGAAAAATATAAAATAAAATTTGAAATATATAATCTGAAAGTCCCATTTTAGGCCATCTAGAAAAATCATATATTTTGTTACCTCTGCCCCAACCATAATGAGACTGAGATGGATCTAGATAATCCATCTTTGAAATTCCCATCTATTTTGAATTCCTAAATCTGTCACTGCAATTCCGTGCTGTGTATTTTGCTTGTGTCCTTTATCTATACTTCTTCTTTCCACCCAGGTGTATAGATTGAATCTTGATCTTGGTTAAGCTGACTACTGTACTATTTTGCCTTTATGGCAGAAACGCTTATGTAATTGGGCCAAATAAGCAGGGAACAAAGCGCTATACAGGCAACAATTCATAAGTATTTTTTATTATTGTTATTTTTTTTGTCATTGTTGTTATTATGTCGTTTTTTACAGAGTGGTAGTCGCAAGCTAATGGTGTCCACAGATGATGGAAATTCATGGAACAAAGCTCAGTTGCCAGATATTAAACAAGACATGGTAAGATCAATTTATGTAACATGAAATTAAAAACCTAACAATACAGTTCAGCTATCATAGACTGACCACAACTAGAATTGCATACAGCTCAAAATCGAAGCATTCAAATTGTGCTTGAGGTTTTTCTGTTCAATCATATACTGAACTAGATGTGTTTTTTTCACTAAAATACTCTATAAAAATACTCAGCTGATATATACATTGGAAAGTAGATGACAATTTAAGTGTAGCCACCTTTATATTAAGTACATGCATACCAACTAATTTAATTTTGTCTTTAAATCTATAAATCTTTAGTTTTACTCTGTGCTGGATTCAACTGAAGGCATGATCTTTGTGCATGTGGATAAAGCTGGAAGTGAGTATAAGAATAAAGGTTCACCTGTATTCAACTGTGTCTACCTGTAACCACCTGTATTCACCTGTATGCACCTGTATTCACTTGCTTGTCAGGTTCTATTATATAAGATTTTGAGTCTTCTTTTGCCCACCAAAACTCATCAAATACCAAAGTTATTAGTAAATGTTGCAGCAAATTAAATTATTTGTTGTATAGCTGATTTCCATACTGCTGACAGCTTTTTGTGCAACGCTGATTGGCCAGTTGAATAAAATTCCAGAAATGAAGATGAATGAAATTAAACGAAATAAGCGCACCTTTAAAATGTGTAATATTTTATGGGTAAGTTTGAACCCAATCCAGACTAACACATTTTTTTTGACAAAAAAACAGTTGTATGCCCATATAGGCAAGTTGTGCCTGTATATGATTATGTGATGTCATCATCACCATATTTAGGCATGTCACATGTTTTTGTCAACAGAAATTTGATAGTGTGGACAGGACTTAAGTTAAAGTAACCAAACTAAAATTCAAAGTTCTTGAATTTGAATCCTTATGTGACAAAATTTTCTTTAAACTTACTTAAAATTTTACTGAGTATAGAAACTTTTCTATTATCTGGATTTTATTGTGTGTTTTTTTTTTAACAGACAATGGATATGGTGAGATTTACACATCTGATGCTGATGGGATAGTTTTCTCCATTTCACTGGAACGACATTTAGTAAGATATATGTTTTTTTATTTTGTTAAACCAATATATTGTAGTTTTTTTCTGAAAACGTGCCATTTAAAGCTTTGTCTGAACCATCGAATTTTATGTGACAAATTTGTATGATATGCCCATATATGGGCATAATGATGTCATATTATATCCAAATATGGGCATATCATATTTATTTGTCACATAAAATTTGATTGTGTTGATAGAGCTTAAGGCTTTTGATAATAATAATAATAACAAAATTTATTGCATCCTTTAATATTTTATTGTAGTATAATAATAATAATAATAATAATAATAATGATAATAATAATGATAATATGTCGGTATTGAAGTCTTGGGGCGCTTTTCCACATTACTCCAGCCCTGGGAATGATGCTTATGGAGGGAATATTTACATACTTTGCCACATGAAATACATAAATGCATTTTGCACTCGAACCTAGGTACCCACTCCTGGGTGGAGAGAGATAATGTTGATAAAATGCCTTACGCAAGGTCACAAGTGAATTGCACAGCAACGGTTTCAATCCCCTGCCTTAAGTTTAAGAATCCCAGCAGCAAGTGTTACACCAACCACTTTCAGAAATTGCTTATTACTTTTTTGATTATATTTGAGAAAAACGTACAGTATATATCCGTATCGGGATTCGAACCCACAACCTTCCGATTACCATTTTATTAATATTATCCTTGTTTATCGGTAGTATCCCAATGGTGGAGATGTGACCGACTTTTATCGTGTAGAATCGATTCGTGGTGTGTACTTAGCAAGTCAGATTTTGGAAGATCAAACTGTTCGTACAAAGATTACTTTCAACCGTGGTGCAGAATGGGGAAATGTCAAAATACAATCAGGAAACCACTGTGAGGGAAATGATGAGGTAGGTTTTCAAATTCAATGTTAGTCTGAGAGTAGTACCATAACCATAACATCAGAATGTAACAAAATTGTATACTGTACTAGGAAAGCTGTAAAACGTTCACTGTACATAGTAGCATAGTAAATCCACATGCTCACTGATCTTAATTTTAACATGTATTGTTTTTGCCATTTTACAGAATTGCTATCTACAGATCCACAATAAATTCTCCCAGACTCAAGGTGTTAACACCCCGATGGGGCCCCTGAGCAACCCCAATGCTGTGGGACTAATCCTAGTCCATGGTAGGTTAACCTATGTGTTGATATGTTAACTTAATGGTCATAAGATGATACAGATATTGTTGGTGCTATTTAATTGTGACATTAATGGCAGATGTGAGGCTAATTGATTATATTTGGCTTTTTGATGTAGATAATAACAATGTGTCATACTGTGTTAAATGGGATCATGATATTGTTATCATTCATCATTATTGAATCAATAACATCATCATTGAATCATTTTCATCATCATTATCATCATCAGAATTTAATTATTATCATTGAATCATTAAATTATGTTTTTCATCAGATTCTTCATCATCATCTACATAATTATCATTATTGTCATCATCATCACCATTTTCATCATCATCAGCATCATCGTTATCATTATCATCGTCATCATTATCATCACTACTATTATCATCGTCGTCATTATTATCATCAACATCATTATTATCACCATTTAATCACATCATCATTGTCATTATCATATTGTTCATCATCACCATTGTAATCAACATCCTTACCCTAATCAACATTATGATAAAGTGGTTCTAATTTCCATTGAACTTTCATCCAACTGTTATTTGCCCGTATTGTTACCATTACCAATTGATTGTTATTGTAATGTTATGTTACTGATGTTAATGATATTACAAACATTTTTATTACTTTTATTATTGATGCTGTAGCTTTGTAATTATTATAATTAATTACTTATTTGCTTATGCAAAACACAGGTCATCCTGGACTTGAACTGCATTCCACTTTGCCGGATGTTTACATAACTGAGGATGGCGGATATAGTTGGCGCAAAGTACTGGATGGACCTCATTTTTATGCCATCACCAACTACGGAGCTTTGCTTGTGGCTATCCCACAGTCTGATGCATCCACTAATGTTATCAAGTAATTTTATTACTTCAGTAGTAGCATTACCTATCATTATCATCGTCGTCATCATTTTCATCATCATCTATTTGTTTATTTATTTGCCGCATTCCTATCATCATCTTAGATCATTATCATAATCATTGTCACCACCATCATTTTCATAATATAATTATCATTATCATTATCCTCATCATTATCATGAACATTATTATTATCATTATCCTCATCATTATCATCAACATTATCATCATCAATATTCAAATAGTGTCATTTGGTTTGTTTATAGCTGTAGAACTGCTTTATCAACAATATACCAAGCACAAATGATGTAAACTTACTGCAAGGTTTCATTGAGTGTTCACATGACTTCTTCAGGCTATGTGAGCTTACATCTATTGGGCATATTTGGCTGGTTAATTTTGTTGACTATGATTTTTCTTTTGAGTATTATTTTCATTTGAGTGGTTCATAAAATAGACTTTGTTGACAACGAAAATTAACCAGAGTGCGTTAATCATCGTTAAATTATCGACGTGACCAAAACAAACATGGCTGATTGGTTAGTTTAGTAAAATTTGTGTTATAATAATTTAGATTAAATATCAGAATATAAAAAGTATAATATTTATCCATATGAAGTAAAAAAATAATTGTAGGCTAACAGAATTCAAAAACTGGATGAAAACAATTTTTTACAAAAAATCCCATACTGCCACAACAAGCCGAAGCAGCCTTGATTACCCAGTGTGCATTGCAGAAACTATGCAGCCATTTCGTTTTGTCGAGTGTTTACCAGTTTTCTATTCGACTGGTCATCTTTGTTGAGTAGAATTTTACTACTGCGCAGGTGGCATGGTTTTACGAAAAATGACCAGTTGAATACGGCCATTGTTTTGGGCATTGTGTGAACAACGCCCTCTGGTGCCAGCGCGTTTCCTGACAAAGTCTTGTTAATAACAGCGACAAACTTGGCAGTAAGTTTTTCATCCTGGCAACTACAGCTGAGGAACTTCAGAAGCCTAAGCATTTTGCGCTACATGGTTACCGTGTGTGCGTGGCACGCTCTATTTGCTACTAGCTAGCTGCTCAGGCTAGGCTAGGCCACTGGAAGTCCCCTACTGAGTTGTGAGACGTTGGTGGTGCTGTTTCAGAATAGACCAAATGAAGTGGTGTATATAGTTGTATTTTTTATAGACAAGTCAATAAAATGTATGTGGAATTCAAGCATAACTAACACAATATTTTTTATATACTTTTTTTTTGTAGGTATTCTGTAGATGCGGGTCAGTGCTGGTATAATTTTGTTTTCCATTCAGAACCAATAGCTGTGACGGGGCTTCTACCAGAACCCAATTTCAAGTCACTAAATGTAAGCATCTGGGGCTACAATACAGACACTAGGATCTGGATGGCCTTCAGTATAGACTTTGGTGTAATCTTAGAGAAAACATGTAAGTACCAAGTACCAACAGTCGTTTGTGGAACTTCGTTAATTGTGTTAATTTTCTCTAGCTATGAGAGGCAGGCAATTTAATTACCCCGCTGAAGCTCCACTCACGTTATATGTGAGGGTAACTCTCCAATGAGAACATTTAAGACCAAACCTTTTTGTTTTGGATACGTCAGTTTGGTTCTTAAATCATTCCTCGATACCTTGATCTAGTTGGGGACGTACTAATGCTTGGTTTGTTTAAGCTTGATGTATTTGGAACAGGGTCCTAGATTCTTTATGTTGTCAAATTATTGAGGAAGTATGAAGTGGGGTTTGTGAACTGATGAGTACTAACCCCGGTATTCTTAAAACGAACTTTAGTCGTAGTTCGAGCTAAAACTTTAAAATTACGTCATTTCGTATTCTTAAAACAAACTTCGACTAGCACTACGACTAAATGACGTGAACCTCGACTAAAATAACACCTCCGCAGGCCGATTTTTTTAGTCAGCCTAGGGTCAGGCTAAATCGCAGACTTGAAATATTTACCTGATTAAAAACGTGTTTTTTGTAACTCACGATAAAGTGAAACGAATAAAAACGATTGCATACGCAGGTTGTTTTTTTGTTTGCTCGCTTGACCATTCATTCGCAGAAAACATTGAGTTTTATAGATGTACTGCTAAACCACATGCTTCAGGAAACAATGGTGGAGTTTAGCTGTTGCATGCTGGCTAAGGTGCTTGGCTTGTAATCCCAGCGTCCTTTCAAGGTTTTTCTCATTACAAAAACAACTCCACTTTCTAAGCCAAGGCTAAACTCTGTCCGCACCGGTCTGAAATTTCCACATATTTGTGGCGGCGGGTGTGCTAATTGGCCAAAAATAAAATTTTCTTTTTATTCGAAATCATCAATATTTGCTGTTTGCAAGCGGGTTCACTAAACAAGGTATAAAAAAGTGTCTTGCCTTATTGAGAGAACTAATGAGAGAATTATGGCTATAATATGGTTACCTCGAGTCCATTGATGCCTACTTTCCTATTAGGTCATCATTCTGGGAACAATTGACATAGCCCTGTCTACACTTCAAAACTCTATTTGACAAATACCTGTGAATTATCCATATATGGGTATAAAATGACACTATCATACCCATATATAGGCAAATTATGCAAATTTGTCACAAATATGTGGATACTATGAATAGGGCCTTACTTACATAAAAATATTTTAGGACCCATTGTTGTAGTTATGTTTTTTTTTTTATGCATTTTAGTGACTTTGGCTTTAGACGTAAGAATGAAGGTAATGGACCTTGTGAGCTTGATCCAGATTTTGAGGGCCTAGAAATTGATATTTGTATCAACCATGAAGAAGAGAAAGAAATAAGCAAAGGGTATGATTGCGTTTACAAAACTTTATATGCTCAAAACACTTTATATGCTCAAAATTAAACAAAGTAAATTTAACAAATTAACAGACTTTAAAGATTTATTTGTAATTCTATTTAACAGAGTTAATTGCACAAAAAAATGGTTTTATTCATCATTTAGCTCTTACTTATAATACATTAGGGACCTTTAGATTGCACGATGACGGTAGGACGTGGAACGTAGTGACGTCACTAAGAGTGGTCTGTTCATGCGAGAACGGTAACTTCTCCTTGTCGCATATATTCTAGGATGCAATTTGGCCAAATCTACGTATGCAGAAGACAATAGTACGCCCGGTAGAATGGTCACACATGAGTGATTCCGAACAAAACAAAAGCTCCCTAATGTAACATTAAGTTCCTGCCATTGATTTATTCCATCAAGACTTAAATCCATTTAAAACCAGTTTATTACATTTGCGTACATTTACTTTACTGATGTGCTTGCGCTGGGACTGGGCATGTGTTTTTTGTTTTCATTTTATTGTTGTTGTGTCTTGGACCTTGTTTCTTTTTTTTTTTTTTATTGGGCGTTTTTCTATTTATATCTATTATATATTTATGTGTATGTAAACAAATTTGTTATTGGCATTTAATTGCTGTTGGATGTGGTTTTCGAAATAATAAATAAATAATAAATAAAAGAATTATTATTGTGTGTGTTTCTCATACTGTATTAATTGTAACTTATAATCATATTTTGTAAGGTTTTGTAAATTATTCTTGTATTTTTTATCTGTTAATAAAATCAATTACCTATTTTGACTTTAATTATTTGTAAATATTATAATAATTCTATTTTTCTAAGACTTTTAGACATCAGGTGGTTTTAGTCACCTTTAATCTATATTAATCATATCATTAATATTTGTTTTAGGTACCGATTGATTCCTGGTGACAAATGCCAGGGTGGCTTTCATCCTCCACGGAACCTTGAGGATGTCCACCAACACTGCGATGAAATAAATTTATCAAGTAGACGTGTAAGTATATTCATTCATATTTATTGTTGTAAAATAATTCTCTTAACACATGCGTATATGAGAAAGGACTTATTTTGGGGACTGGGGATATTTGCCAGAAGACCAACTTAGTACTCAAGTCTAGAGAATGGACACACACCCAAAAATTATTTTTAAAACATTTGCATTTTTCTTGGGTAATGTAGACCATCTTGAACCAAAATCTCCAGATAGAGCTAAACACCCCTCACCTTTCCCCTTCCTATGATTATTATAATTACACAAATTATTATTTTATACAAATTTAAGAATAGTAGTAATATGAAGAAGTCATCTAAGAATCATGATAATGCTATGTAATATATGTATACAAATTGGCCTGTCATTAATTTTGAAAGGAGCAAAGAAATGTGTTATTAGGTGACTGGGTCAGTACTAAAATTATGCAAAATTTATCTCTTTTAAATTACTTAAATGTAAATTGTAACAATTTTGTACAATGCCTGTTATTTTTGCTAGAAAGTTCAGTAATTACAGGGGCAGATTTAGTGGGGGAGGTCAGCCGGCTCGGCCCTTCCTTCTGAAATTTGAAAAAAAGAAAGAAAAATACTTATTGATCGCCCAAAATGCCTCAGAGGTTATTTCTGGGCATAGAGAAAACAAAAAATTTCTGGGGGAATGCCCGGAGCCCCTAGAGTACTGTTGTCTCTCAATTACCCCCACCCCTTCTCCCCCCCCCTTTTGGACATCTCTGGAACTGCCCCAGATTTGTTTTTGAAAATAGTTATACAATCCATATTTTTTCCTTCAACAGCCTAAACATTCCGGTTTCAAAGTCTTCATTGCACTGGCATTGCTTTGCACTGTCTTTGTATGTCTTGTTTTTATCTACCGGAGACACACGTTCAGGCTTCCATGTTTTAAGACCAGGTAAAGTATTCAATTTATTCTTTTGTAATTCTAAATGTTGATAAGTAAATCTGTGCAGTTTTTATAGTCTTGTACTCAACTGGACAAACTGATAAGAGGCAATTTTTTTCTATTACGCCCTTAGTTGCACCTGGCCCCTTCTTGTCAGCCCCTCTCTTCATTTTTGTGCTCTGTCTTTTTTTATTGAGCTTAATTATTATGCTTCTGTGGTAAAAATTAGTTTGTTTTTTTTTAAATAAAAATATGAAATTTGTCTATAAAATTACTGAAATATTTATCCCCATGCACCACAGAATGTCTAACATCCTGTGACTATTAGGGTTCTTAAAAAGTGGTGGGTCTTTAAAAATGGCAGTAGAAAGGCAGGATAATCAGACACAATGAACATAGTTGGGGGTGGGGGTTGGGGTTGAGGAGGATGTCTAACAACATATAGGTGACTGGGACCTTAAATACTGAATTTTATTTAATATAATTTATATATTTCTGTATTATAGGAATATTACATATCGTTACTCGGAACTGTCTAGTAAAGATGAGTTAGACAACGAATTGGACAAAGCCCTCAACATTGATGAAGAATCTCATGTATACCATGACGAGTCAGATGATGTAAGTGTTTCAAAAGGATGGTATACCCAGGTGTAGGGTAGATATCATTATCATCATCATCATCATCTTTTAAAGTCTGTTTTTCCCGCATGTGAGGGTTAGGCTGTTGCGAGGCTGTACAATTAGGTGTAAGGTGGGTGTGCCCTGCGAGGGCAGTTAGTACAGACAGCGGCAACTTCCGGATTGGGGTTTAACCTGCAAAGAAGACATGTTTTAGATATAAATATAAACATACATAAAACCTGTGCCAATGATAATAAGCAGCAGATTTCTAACACACAACTTAACTCAATGTTTTGCAGCACCTAATATTCCAACAACAGTTTTTAATCCAAGTATTGACTGGGTCCGAACTTGCTTAACTTGATATGTTGTTTTGAAGCATTGTCATATTTTTTTCTCGATTACCATCTTTCTATAATTCTCATGTTTTAAAGAATGGCGATATCAATATTTTTTATAATAGTCTTGGTATTTTTAAGAATCTTTACGTAACATATCCATGCAAAATTGATATTTTTAGTTATACATATTACGTAACATATCCATGCAAAATTGATATTTTTAGTTATACATATATTTTTATATTTTGTCCATCCTGTAAGTGGCAATATATTGCTAAAAAAATTTTTAAAAATAAAAGAATATAGATAAAAATAAAAATAAAAGTAAACTAAATAAAAATAAATAAAAATAAAATTAAAATTAAAATTTAAAAAACTAAATAAAAATAAATTAAATAAAAATTTCAATTTAAAAAAAACTAAATAAAAATAAATAAAAATAAAATAAATAATAAAATAAATGATAAATAAAAAATGAATTACATTTTACTTAATAATATTGATTGTAATTTTTCTTGCTTTGCAGGATATGCTAACGTAAAGAGGATATTAAAGGAAGACGGTCTCTGTGATGCCAATGACAAGATTATTTAGATGCTTTCTTCCTTTTATCCAAGTCACAATTATACCGTTATGTAAGATTGTACCTGAGAAAATTTGATTTTATTTAGTATTAAAACAGTATTTATTGATTTGGTTTATATTTGTTCCTATATGTAGATTTTTGTTGGGAGGTGAAAGCAATCAGAGGTTTTAAAATTCCTTATTATTATCAATAGCATTGTCATCTTTATCATCATTATTGTCATCGCCATCATCATTATTAGGATTGTTATATTTATCATCTTTATCATCATCATCATCTTTATCTTTATAATCATCTACATCATCATCATCTGTATCATTATCATTTTATCATTGCCAGCATCATCATCATCATAATTTGTTATAAGATTAATTATTTCAATTGTCAAATTAGTTTACTTTATTTAGTGGCTGACTGGTAAAAGTAAAACAAAACATGTACAGCTCTACTAATTGCATTTGAAAAGAAAATATATTAAGAATAATTCTGTAAATTAATTACACTTCTTGCTGCAATATCACCTTGTTGCCTAACATACATTTTTGCTTGGAGATATCAAACTAACTTTATATTTGAAAGTGCATTTATCACAATTAAAGTCCCATTCCCGGCAAAATTTCACTAAAAACTGACTTTTTTTAGAAAATATTCATTTGCATTACTCCAATTATTATAAATCATGGAAAAATATTGGCATGAATTTTAGTTTTACGCAAAAGAATAAAAAAAATGAGAAATACAGACTATTTCTCCTGTCTCTTATACACATCTAGATGTGTATAAGAGACAGAAGTCATGCAGGCCTTGTATAAACTGGCCTTATGATACATATATAGATTAAATCCTTAAACGACGTGTACACTAGCCAATTTCGTGTCTTGAAAAAGAATGAGGAAGTTGCATGGTTGTGTGGCCGCTTGTGCTTGGCTCCAGGAGTCGACTGTTCTATAATTTTTCGAGGGGTGATCTCATGTTTAGTGATATGTTGGTTTATCCAGGTAAGTATTCAAGAAATAGACAGCTAAAGCTTTCAGGGGGTTACACCCTCTGGACCCCATGTAATGGGGGATACCCCTCCCAACAGCCAAGGCCCTCGCGCCAAATTCTCCGTTTTTTAGCATCTCAACGTTAGAAAGTATGTGTCAGAAGACCTATTTGTTTTCTGGTGGCTATACACATGTGTTGCATCTTTGATCTTGTTTAGAACTGGTGCCATAAAAATTCATGATATTATTATTATTATTATATTATTATTATAATTATCAAAAGAATCATATCCTATTTACAGTATTAAGATTGTGTTAAACTGAATGTAAAACTAATTGTCAATTTTCATGATAATGCATTTATCACAATTAAAGCCCCATTCCCAGCAAAATTTCACTAAAAACTTTTTTTAGAAAATATTCATTTGCATTACTCCAATTATTATAAATCGTCGAAAAATATTTGCATGAATTTTAGTTTTACGCAAAAGAATAAAAAATAAAGAGAAATACAGACTATTTCTCATAAAATATTACAAATTTCTGGATGAATTCATCGTTACTAGGCAAATTCAGAGGTTGTAGATCGCATCCACTGGAATACTCTTGCTTTTATGTATACTTTTATACAGTCAATAAAGTGCACCCTCTCTAATGAGATTAGTTTTTGTACTTCATATCTCGCACGATGCGGTCGTTCGATTAAAGCTGAGATATGTTTGTTTAAGTGTCAAAATCTCAGTCAGAATCAGTTTTTTAACAAATTTGAAATAATTCCTATGAAATATTATATTTCACAAGTGTCAATACTAGCAACGGAAAATATCATGTCGGCCGTTTTTATGTGTGATAACAGAACCTAAATCGAGGTAAGGCTAGGCCTAGACTAGCAGCGCTGGATAGGCTAAAGTTTTCGGCGCCTACGATATTTCTTCTCACGACCTATTGCAAAATCAAAATGAAAAATTCATCCGCATTTATTTTTTGTGTGGAACACAAAAAAATCAAATTTCAGTCTTATTTTACATTTTTTTCATTCTTAGGAATATCTAAATTCAATTAAACTAGCAATTCCGTATTATATTTATAAATCTTTATAACATTATACAAAAATTAGATTTTTCTTAAAAACTGAAATTTTGCCGGGAATGGGGCTTTAATTTATGAAAAATTATTTAATTTCTTTGTAGATTTATTCACAATTTATATCTAATATTTAATCTTATAATAATAAAAATAAGTAGAATATTAATATTTATTGAAATATTTAGGTAATTATGTAAGCTTGATCTTTTGATGATTTTTCTAATACTGTATATCTGACAAAAAAAAATACATTATAAATGCATTGTTTTTCATATTTAGGTACTGTATCATTCCTAACATTAGAAATACTGTAATTAAATCAACATACATTTTTTATAGAAAGGTTTACTAATTTCCAATTCATGGTTTAGCATATTTATTTAAATACATTATTTGTACTTGTGTGTGAAGATTTGTTGATGTAGGATTTTACAGGTAATGGGTATAGGTTTATAATTAATAGTAGATGTCATTTACTGTACTCTACTATCATTTAAATTTGCATTTTTACAGTCAAGTACAGGGTGGGCATGTTCACTATTCCCTGTTCCCTTCCCCCCCCCCCACCGTATCACCACAATAAGCTAGACTTTTTTTATACCTTGTTGAGTGCACCCTCCAACTGCCGTGAATGATGGTTATCGTCCACCTAGATGGTTTTTCCAAAATCATTTTTCTTAATGAAAAAACAAAATTTCAGTTTTATTTTTTTTCAGCCCTCCTCTGATGACCTTTAAAAAATAATTTTGTGAGACAAGGAATACAAAATGTTTAGCCATACAGTGTCTGTATATATTTCCATCCAATTAAGTGTTTCATTTTGATTTCAATTTGGGAAGGGGTTGAGAATTTTATAATGTTCCCCTCTGGATCCACCAATACAATTTGTCTTCACATATTTTTGTATATACTGATGCTCTACTTTTTTTTTTATTGCATCTTAGTGTTTTATTTCTCATTGAAGTACAGTAATTATTAAAAGTAATGTTTATAACATTCTGTGGGAAAAAGAAACAGAATTATTGAACAATTTGTCATGTAAATATAAAGACATTTTTGTGTATAACTTTTTATAATTCTTGATGCATGTTATGTCTTCCAGTCAGAGAGGTTAGATGGAGGAATTTGGTATACTTTGATTTTGTGAAGTGGAGCCATTTTTCAATTAACTATTGAATCTCATATTTATTGTCTTGTAATTGGAGTAATTTATGATATTTTCTTTCTTTAATTAATAACAAAATCAGTTATCAAATTCAGTTACTTTGGTTTTTAAATATCTTTAGTTCAGGATATATTATTTGTTAACATTTATAGAAGTAGTTGCAACTGTTAACTAACTGCGATTTTACAAACAATATAAGTTGTTTTTTTTTAAGAATTCTATTTAATAGAATTCTGGATTTTTTCATTAAATTATTTAAAAAATCCAAATATGGATTTTAAAAGCTGATAGTCAAAACCAGATGAACATGTTTGTATATTAGTAGAAATGTTCAACACTGGAGATAATAGTGAAGGAAGGTTAAGCAAGGTTTAAGATATTGAAAATGTATTTGTTAAGAATTGAGTAAACTATGATTGCGATACCAGATGAAATAAAGTATTTCAAGCCGGGCGTTCGCTGCGTTGTACGACGAATCAGACTGCGTTCCCTGTGGGCGCTAGACAATTTGCGACACTGTCTGCTGGTTGTCTGTTGTAGTCTAAATGTATTGTCATTAAAAACATTCTGTTGCGTCACGTTCCACATAGAATCGAGTCGGGCAATGGGTGCCCTGCTGAATACATAAAATATTATTTAAGAGAAGTGTCTTGTAGCTGGGGTGATTTAAACACAAACATTATTGAAATGTTAATGACAGAGTTTTACTTTAATTTTTAAAATTTAAGATTTGAACTTATTTATCTTTCATTTATCAACTTAGTATCGTATGTATCAAACATTCCATTGTCATTGCATCTTATGTTGAATTGGGTAAATTGGGTAAAATATGTAATATCGCCATCAGTATCAACAGGACTGATTTACTGACTAATGTACACATCACTTGCTCTAATTTTTTTCCATCAGGATACCCAGTAAGACCAAAAGGAATATATTATATATATATATATACATACACTACTCCTAACTAACTCATAGGGAGAAAAATCCTTTGTCTACATTTTGTCTTAACGTCGTTAAATTTTCCCCTTAGCGGCAGTATTTTCGCCATAAGGTATTATTTATAACCCTTTCCATTGTTAACATTTCCCCGTATGGTAGTATATAGTCGTATATATATATATATACACACACACACACACACTTCCAATGGATCGCTAGTATTAATTTCAAATAAAATTTATATCATTAACTTTATCATTACTGTTATTGAATAGCAATATACAGTACTAACATATTACTCTGCTACATTCATTTTAATGCTTTCTTTTGTTCTTCACATTGAATTTAGTTCTTAATTCTAGATAAGAGGTTCTACTGTATTTACATTCCAAAAATACACAGATTGTTCCAGTAATGTTTGATGCAACTTTTTTTTAGTTTTCTTCTACTTTTGAAATAACTTGCACCTTCACTTCGACTCTTTTTTGAAATTATCATTTATATAAGTAAAATATTTGCAATACAGTATATTAAATTTCAAGTTTCACACTCATGACAGTTGCATTTTTGTTGTTATTTATTTCATTTTGAAGTGTACAAGTATTAGAATTCATCCAAACGTGAAAAATGGACCGTTCCTGCTAAAACCTTTCTAAACCCCGGCTTTTGGATATTGTTCCCACAAATGACAGCGTAACATACTTAAAGTAGTGTTTCTGGGACATGCGTGTATCTCTTACCCTCTTTTGATTGGTCATTGTTAAGTGTAATTGGGACTGTCGAAAAGATCCATTTTACTAGGGAAAATGCACAAATGGCGGACTTTTATTACTACCCCTCATGTTCTACTCCTACTTGGAGATGTTCCACCAACAAGGCTTGGGTTGGGAATGGAGGTGTCAGCGGACACCCTATTCAAAGTTATTTTGATTGCCCATCCCTAATACAGTATTGTGGTATAAATGTACAGATGGACTATATTCAGCCATAAAAACTCTTCCCATCAACCCCACCAGGGATTTCATTTCTGGGCTCTGACCAAGGCTTTTAAAAGCCTAATAGTCGTCTCCTTGGTTAGGAAGACCTGTCAGACCCCTTTTCGGTAAATTAATACTGGGGCACTGCATATGGGATAAAAATTCAAAAGAAAAGATCAAAATCACGGAATTTTGAAAAGTTTTGAAACTTATCCTTCCAGCAATCACTTGTTGTGTGTTGGGAGGTGCGGCACAGGATCGAGATTTGCACTAAAGTTCACCACAATTCAGTTTCACTGTATTTTTTTTTTTTTTTTTTTTTTCAATTTTGAGCATGATGGTGGTGTGGTGCGATGGGCAATACTAGGGAATTCCCCTCGTATTTGTAATTTAGTAGAGGGCGCTATTTGTCACGTTGCGTTCTATTACGAGTTTATTCGCGCGACACACGAATAGTTTCGCTTCCTTGTGACATTTGACGACAAGACTCATCATTAGTTTGTGTGCTGTTTAATCATGGTTTATCATTCAACAAGCAAGGTAATTAAATGAATTAGATTAAATGTACCAAATACAGTTCATTCCTGTTTACTCATCCAGAACTCATTGCTCATCCATACCAGGTTACCGTTAGGCCTAGGCCCTAGCCTAAAAAGAAAACTCACTTTCTCAATGACCCGACTGCCAAGGGCAGGGAGATGTTAGGGGTTAGGCTAGATAGCCTACCTATATAGCTTGTGAGAGGACAATCTCTGTTGCATGGCCTGTTAATATATATGCTTTGAGGGCATACAGGCAAACTCGAACACAAATTTTGTTAACTAACAGAATTTTGGCGAGCCTTTACACACCATTGGCTAGCCCGTACACATGTTTTGTGTAAGATTTTATACATTTGCATTTCAAACTTTATGCAAAATGCATTGTATTTTGATAATAGTCATACTGATCTATATTACTCAAAACCTACTTATGATTTTTAGAACATGTGGTAAATAGATTTAGAAATTCATGATCGTCAGCGGCGCGGGATGTTGAAACTGATCACCTTACCATTGAGAGGGCGCTATAAAAAATATTAGTGCGTTTTTCTCTAGAGATGTATTAGACCCAGTTTCAGACTTAGGCCTCCTAACGATGCTTGACTATACATAATACTCCCATAATACTTTTTGTATTTTTTCATTAACAGTGTAATGATTATTAAGTTTTTATGATTGCTATTGTTTCACCTCGAACCTAGTTGACTTAGTGACATTTGCGTTGTTTTTGTAAAAAAGAAAAAGAACAAAAAAAAAGTATTAATACAATTGTTAATAAATTAATGTTACAGTAGGCCCTAATGCATGCTAATTTTCATCATGTGTGAGAAAAAATCCCATAATCTAGGGGGTGTTAAGGGCATGCCCTCCCCCAATGTTTTTCCCTAGATATCCAAAATTGGAATATTTGCCACTTACACTACCAGGGTTGTCACAACTGAAAATTGAATTTTGTCTTTGAAATGCATGTTTCGGCCTCCCTCTCAATGCAACTGCAGTAGTTTGACCTCATCTGATCGAAAAATTAAGAGAACCTCACCCTATAAAAAATGCATTTGGGTACAAATGTGCCAATCGTGTGTACGAGTTCACCTAAATTTGTGTACGAGTTTACTAAATTGTCTACCAGTTGGTATGTGTACAAGTAAGCTGACATCTGCTGCGAGCGCGTAAATTGAGTAGGCTATAAAAAGTCAGTCGAAATGACATTCCATATCCTTTTGATTGAAAAGGTGTAGATGCATTAGTCTCCTTAGACTCTGCTATTGTGGAACAATTATAAGAAATGACAAATCTCAGAAAAAAAATAGAAAGAAGACTAGAGCTTGTATTATGTTATGAATAGTCTCTTTAAAGTGCTGAGATTTGTCATTTCTCATATCGTTTAATGGGTTGCAGGATGTTATCAATTACCCCACTCCATGATGTCAATGATTCTTAAGTGCAAGATTCAGGGACTGACAAAACAACATGAAAACTTGACCGATAATATTTTGATAATAATATCATAATGAAGCGAAAGAGATTTTTCATGTGATGCCTCCAGAAAATCAGGCATTGGTGGTTTGAACCAAGGGGCCGTCTAGAGCCTTGGTCAAGGTCCCAGAATAAGATATCTGGTGGGGTTCATGGGGAGAGATTTTATGATTTAGGATGGTCCTAAGTTGTGCTTTAGACAATTGAAGGTACATTAGTTTATTTTTTAACAGTTGTATTCTAGAAATTATTTCCTTGTTTCTGTGTGGAGATATCCCAACAATTGGTTATATTTTGTCAAATTTTTGCTACTGTATGTGAATTGAGTATTAAATTAATATTAACCCTCATTGGAACTGTTTTCATGAATAATAATAATAGTAATAATAATAATAATAACAATAATAATGTAAGTAATAATGTAAGTAATGCGCATGATATAAGAAAGTTGCCTCTAATGCACTTTATATAAACAAAAAGAAATATAACTATGAAATATCCTAATAATGTGATGTATATGTTAACAATATTTAACTATTATACTCATGACTTAATGTTTGCCGCCCTCTATGTTTTAATAAATACCCACAATATAGTGGTACAAACGTGGCTCCTGTTATTATTTATGTTTAACATTACAAATACTACAAAGAAAACTAATAAAGAAAATGGCATGTATGCGCATTCAGGTTTTTAATTTAACAAATTTTCATAGATAAAATTTTGTTGTGTGTGTGTTTTGATTGTGTTTGTTTTTAGGTACCAAGAAAAATAATGCGTATCTTATAAACATAGGGCCTTTTTTTAATTATGATCGTGGATAGGTCTATTGTTCCGACAACCTCAAATACTATAAATCAGAGGTGAAATTAGAAGTTCAAAAAAACTTGTTTTAAACAGATCTCCTGGAAATAACTTCTTCAAACTTGTGACACTTGGAAACCACCCATCAGACTTAATTGTGTGGGCACCTAACTTTTTTCATTGCTGGGTGAAGGACACTACAGTGTAGAACTTGAGAGACAGCGAACTCACAAAAGCTGACAAACCACATCCTTGTTTTTATTAGATATGACCTCATTTTATTTGGCTAGCCAATGGATTACCTTCAGAAGTAGGTTGAAATTGGCAATAGTAATTAACGATTGATATTTTTTGGTACAAAATTTACAAGGGAGTTTTTATTATTTAAATCATTTTCATAGAGTAACACAATAATCTTTAATACGTACTGTTTGCCATATAAAAAGGGAAAAAATCCCAGAAATTCAAGAAAGAACTTTTTTCTGTGTTTTTCAAAGGTTAAAAATTTCCCATCCGAATCATAGACGAACGGTACAGTACTGGGTAAAGACAACTTGGTTTCTTGCTTCAAACAAGGTATCCATTCGTAGAAGTCTTATACCCGATTCACACGTACAGAAATCTTACCAAATGTAACAAAATGTAACCAAAAGTAACATTTTACGGCACGTGTGAAAGTACCTCCGTGTAATATCCTTGTAAAATCTCGGAACGTCTCGGTAATCTTTACCAGCCTCGCTGAGGCTGGTAAAGCTTCCGAGATGTAACATGGATGGATCTGCGCATGCGCAGGGATATCAACACAACAACAATCTACTGTTTCACGGGGTTCTTTGAATTTTCTTCCTTCTGCATACGATTCTGATCCACTAGAAATAGATAGGCCTAGTTTTTCTCAATGATGAATGAATTACCCTTGTTATTGATGTTAATTAGTAATGGTAGAAGAAGAAGATATACATAAAATGAACGTTGGGATGGTGTTAGTACTATTACTAGTATTACAAGAGTCGACAGAAACGTTGGAAGCTATGCCTAGTTTAGTAGTAGTAGTACAGCAGTTGTTAAGGGTATTGATTGCTTCGAATGTTTACTGCGATGGTGAGTTCAAAAGTCCATCTGTGACAGGTGTTTTCAACTAGGCCTAGGCTAGACCTATATCGCAGTAGGGGAAAAATGGTTCATTGAATAAACACTGAATAAATTTTACACAACCTTGGTATTACCTTACAGACCCGTGTGAATGCTTTTTATCTCGGTAGGAATAATTCGGGAGATCGCTCGGTTACAATTTGTTACTTTTTGTTAAATTTAGCTTCACGTGTGAATCGGGTATTATGGAGATAAGCCTATCCAATAGTGAACTTAAATGGGTCGGGGACCAGGACACACTGTACCTTCACCTTTAAATTGACAAAGATTGAAATATGGTAAATACAGACACAATGTATATGTCCAGTTTAAGAGAATATGTGATCATGTATCGAAATGATTATTACATTTTACGAGTTTGTAGTAGATTTTGGACACTGATCATCAGAGGTCAAGGTGTCAAACCTACAAGTTTCATAAATTTGACATCAAATCCAAGACCTTTCAGTACAGTACGTGATTTCCAAGTTTTCTTTATATGAGAGAATATCTCATCGATGTTGTTTCTAATCCATGTTTATTGTAATTGTGTTTATGTAATGAGGTGGAATTAAAGATTCTAGTGTAAAAGGTTTATTAATAAAGCTTTTTAGTAACGATAT